CCCCAAAACCCCAAAACCCCAAAACCCCAAAACCCCAGAGTTTAATTGAGGGAAAAAGATTAGATTGAAAAATGAAATATCAATACATTCGTCAAATCGAATGATATAGAGTATCGGAGAGGGTCAACTAGTATCGCAGACTATTTGCCTGAGTGGTTAAAGGGTCAGACTCGAAATCTGATGGGGTCTCCCCGCGCAGGTTCGAATCCTGCAGTAGTCGTTTTTTTTGCCTCTCTAGAGCATTTTACTTTATTTATTGTTATATTAACAGGAGTCTTAAATTTAAATTTACTTGATCTATTAATATAATGGCTTCGCTTTCAGCATAAAGACCTCAGAAAAAACAAAACTTGTCTTCACAGCAGGAGCTGTAGAATTAACCTAGTAGGTCACAATCATCTAACAATAGACCGTAAAAATAGGATCCTATTGTTAATTAGGAAGTATCGTTTTAGCAAAAAGACTAATTTGTCTCCTAACAAAAAAGTCTCCAGAAAGATGATATAATTTCAAATAAAGTCTCTCTGTAGAACAATAATAGCATCTAACAATAATCTGTATAAAATAACTTCCTTAGATAAGATGAAGTTCTATAGTTATCAAAAAATTAGCAACCACCTAAGATACTAGTTGAGGCTGTTGAAAAATGTAGCAATCTTATTAATAGCATTGAAGAGCGTATAGGCAAAATGAAGGGAGTAATAGAAATGAAATCCAAACTATAACAATTGAGTGAAACTCTTAAAAAAGCATAAAATCAAAATTTTACATCAAGTGTACCTTTATAGTCTCCAGCTTTTCTTAACACAGTAGCTGAGATCACTGAGAATTTAGACTTGGTAGACTACCAAACATTGAAATATAGGAAAACCAATGCAATTAAGAAGAAGATGTAAGCTATTCTAAATAAATTTATTCTGATGAAAATCATATTAGGATAGAAGGTGATGTGAGGCAAAAACTTAAGGGATTGAGATTTAATATCGCATTCCTTGATAAAATGATTGATGCTCTATTCTTGAATAGTATCAATCCAGTAAGACAGATATCAAATGAGGATAAGAAAGAAATTATTATACACTAAGGTGGGCTTAGTTCTATGTTTAGTTAGTAAGACCCCTAATAAAGTTACTAATGTGGTAGGGAGATGCAGAAAAAGATACAAGAGATGGACAGATAATTAGAAGATATAAGAAGGCAATAGATGCAGTCAGAAGAAATGATAGTAAAGCAGTAGTAGAAAATTAGTGTGGAATCTTAAAAGAAACATAAAGCTGATTTGAAAAAGCAGGAAGAAGCAGAGAGGAGGTAAATATCATCTCTTAAAACAATAGATAAGCAATGCTGAATCAAATGGAAGAGGAAAACAAGCAGTAAAAGCTAAGCATGCAAGCTGAAAACTTCTGTTTCTAGGCAGATTGCATGTTCTTTGGATTTGGATTGATTGAAAATGTTGAGGCAGCTCTTGACTTGTACATAAAAAGTGCACAGCTTGGTAATCCTAAAGCAATGATGGCTTTGGGCAGAATATATGAACACGGAATAGGGACAAAAATAGACTTATCTAAAGCATATTCATATTATGATGCAGCTGCAAGTTTAAATGAGCCATATGCTCTCTATTGGCTTGGAAAGTAATGCGAGGTAATGTAATAATTGACTAATATAACTTCTTATAGACAGGAGAAGTTCCTGAAATGAAAGGAATTCCAAATATGGCACTTGCTCATTCATTTTACAAAAAAGCCGCAGAAAAAGAGTGCAAGGAAGCTTTCTACAAATTAGGGTACTTCTATCAATACGGCATAGAAAATGAGAAGAATCTCTAATTAGCGATCAGGAAGTATGAGGAGGGGGCAGCATCTGTAATTATTCAAGTTTAATTTTATTTAGGGAGATGAAATATGTATGAACGCATTAGGTTCCTTATTTTACAATGATTAAAAGGATTACAGCTAGGCATTTGAGTGGTTTAAAAAATCTGCAGAGAGAGGATACTATAGAGCATTGAATAATTTAGGCATATGCTATGAACTAGGATAAGGAGTTGAAACTGATATGGACATGGCTCTTTAGTTATACAAGGAAAGCGCCTAGAAAGGATTTGTGCCAGGACTATACAATTTAGGACAGTTATACTTATACAAAGCAAAGCTGACTAATTCTCATGAGGTATTCTAACCTATTAACTAAGATTTAGTTGTATAAGGAAGCTGCGAATATACTAATGGATGTAATTCAAAAAGATCATAACTCGTCAGAATGCTATTTCAATCTAGGTCAACTGTTTGAAAATGGACTAGGTGTAGATAGAGATTACTCAACTGCTTTCAGATACTATAAGTATTTAATTTTCTCACTAATAAATCAAATAACAGAAAGGCATCAGTTTTGAATCATTCAAAGTCCTTCACAAAATGTGGGGATTTAATATACTCAGGGAAAGGTTGTGGTAGAAGAGACAAAACAGAAGCTTTCAAATGCTATTCAAAAGGAGCTCAACTTGCTGATCCTGATGCTTTCAATAATCTTGGATTAATGCTTGAAAATGGTTTCGATGAAAGAGTAGCAGATCATGAATTAGCTATAGAAATGTACAAGAAAGCTCTCAAGCTTGGTAACTCAGACTCAGCCATAAACATTGCTTTAATCTATCTTAATGTATAATATCATTCATTATTTATTAATGGATAGGGAGTATGGGTTGAAAAGGATGTTAATCAAGCAAAAGTTTTACTAAAACAAGCATTCAAACAGGGCAATGAAAAAGCAGCAGAATATATGATATCATTTGGTCTTATTAAAAGTAGGAAAGACCTCGAGTAGGAAATGCAATTGCCAGATGAAGAAGTAATCTCAAATATTGCACTCTCTTCGAATGGGTTTAATTAAGTAAATATCAATCTCAATAACAACTAAAACAACAACAACAACAATCTGCAGACATTCTAGTCTAAGAGGACAATATAGGTTGATGAAAATAGGTCAAACGTATTTAACAGTATAAGCATTCCTTGGGGCAAGAATTCAGCTGATGAAAATCAACCACCTTAAAGAAGCTCCCTTAGATCAATCAATAATAACAGTTCTAAAAATGCAACAGTTACTAATAATTATGGAGGAGGAAGTGCTAATTAGACGTCTTAAAATTTTGCAAACGCCTCCTCTAAGAGATTTTACTATTATAATTGACTTGCTAAAATATTTGAAATTCGTTATGAAATTAATGTTAATTCATTCATTATTAATAATCAGTTTTCATTGTTTTTCTAATTATCCACAAGGTTAATACTAGTCTTTGGTCGCTTTTGTTTAATTATCCTACTCACAGAATCAGGCGATATCACTTTTTGAAGGCTTAAATTGTTAAATTACACGAACGATATCTCATCCAACGGCTTTACTGTTCTATCATCCTTTAACACTTCTTATAAATTCTCAAATCTCTTTAATTCCAAATGCCCCAGTTTAGTTCCTTAAACATCTTGACTAACTATAACCTCTGATTTATTAATAGGAGTTGAATCACTATTAATATATTTCATTAGTAACTTGTGATCAATCATAGTGTTATTGAGGTACTAAGGCCCATCTACGTTGAGATTAATGTGCTAATAAACTGGTCGCCTCATTTTACCATTAGCCTCATTTATAGTACCTTCTCTTCTCCCGTTTTAAGGCGTTATTGACATTTTTCCGAAATTTCTCTGTGAAACTTGATTTGACTTGGGTCTACTACTTCCACTACTGATAATAAGTTAGCTTGTTCTATTTAGGCTTTTCCTTAGGACTCTGGATTAAATTAGATTGGTAGAAGAATTTTTATTCAACATTTAAGAAAAGTTCCCAAATGTCCCAATTGAATGTGTATCGTTTATATCTGACTAATCATGTTCATAATTATTGACTGAAAAGGCTGTTTTGATGGCGTTTAGCTCCTAAACTTAAGACTAGGTTTTTTTAAGTTCATTCTCAATCATTTTAGTTTCTTCCATCTAGTTAAGTATTTACTCAAATATCGGTTCTGTATTAACATTTATTGCTTTTTAAATATACCTTTGATATTCTTAATCTAAGTAATGAAAGTTGATGAGGACTACCTGAACTAATCTACTAATTAATTAAATAGCTTTTCAAGTCTCGTTATTTTATAGTCATTTTATCCTTTTGATTTATTTACTCTCAGTAAGTTATCCTAGATTTCATTCAGTTGAGATCTATAATAATTGCTGTATATAGTATCTTACTTGTAAATGAATTTCAATTAGTCAAAATCATAATGCAAATCCTGGATCTTCTTATCTAAACCTGACTCCTTACTTTGATGAGACATATTTGATGAGTCAACTAAAAATAATATGAGCCTCAATCTAATTACATTGTTTCCTGAGAAGATCAAGTTCTCCTTACATTTTGTTATCATTTGCTTGCATCCTTATAATTGTTTTAGACATTTAATCTACTTCTTATTCTTTAATTTATAGTTTTTGTTACAGTATTTCAACAAATGTATCCATTTAGCTGAGTCTCTTGTTAATTTCAAAAACTTCGCTAAATAACTCATTGAATTTTGCCTGACCATCTATGATTAGATTGTTGGAGTGCAGATTGAAGTCACTAATTTTTTCAAGTTAATGAGTCATCTCGACGATGTTCATACTAACCTCATTTAATTAGAACTAGGAATACTGGTTAAATATTTTTTAGCGCTTCTCCACATGCTCAATTTTTCTTAGTTTAGACAAGAATTTATCTCCAAAGCCATGCTTATTCAAGAGCATTTTAATATTACTTCTAGTGGAGTCCTCAGTGTTCAGATTATTTTTGCTCTAAACTATTTTCTAAATGCTTTGATGATGCCTTAATATACGATTGTACCAAGTCGATTGAGTCTAAAAGTATTGACTCTTTCTTTTGAGTTTCGAAGATATAGCTTCAAGATCTTACTAGTGCTGAGATTTCTGTACATATTCAGTAATCTTATCGTCAGACTCATCCTTTTAATGTGTCCTCATTTGATGTTAAATCTGTTCATCCAATTCATTATTGGAGGCAATTTAGAAAGATTAGTTTAATTTGAGATCAGACTTTCTACTATAGTTAGTCATATTGTTATGTTCATATTTAGTTAAAGTAATTTTAGGTACAAATTCAAAGTTCTTGCTATCATTACTATTCTAATACTACGAAGGGATCAATAGTCCACTGAAAGGATTACTCACTTAAATCAAATTTTCGATATCTCCGTTTGATTATTTCTAACTAGGAACAACGACGCTTGAAGAAATATTTTGGGGAGTAGAGCTACCTTGATTTGGAGGATTAAAGTTGTTTCCATTACTATACTTAGAATCTTCTGCCAAGTTCTAGCTTTTTGATTGAGGAGTTCGGCTGGATTATACATTGGAGTAATTATCATTATTTTGATGGTCCATGTCTATTTCTAAATCTGACACAGTTTCCATCATTTCGGAGGTGTCAACTGATGAATCTTTCAAATTTGAATTAACCCTTAAGTTAGTTTTTACATTATCAATTTCCTATACTAAAATGGCATTATCCTCAACCAGTTTCTAAATTTATTCATTCAGAGCCTTAATCTTCTTTTCTAGATCTTTACCAGACTGTTCATCGTACTTTTAGTCAATTTAATCAAATAGCTGACGAATTTTTTTAATTCCCAAATTCTTATCTGAAAACTCTGTCTAATTTGGATCTTATTATTGCTAGGTAAGAAGATCCCTTCTATAATCGACAACTTTGAGTTTTAAATCTTCAAAGGCTTGTCTTGTTGCCCTGGTATTGATGTCGTAGCTATGCTGCTCTATACTTACTTTACTCATCATTTCTTTATCTATTTTTAACTGAATTTGCATTTTGTACCTGTCTAGTTTATTTTCAAAATCATTCCTCATGATTTAATTAATGCTATTCAATTCGCTTTTAGATATCACTTTGTTGAGATGTCCTCTAATGTTGCTTAACTCTTCATCGTGATTCATCACATGTCTATCTAAATTTTTAATCTATAATTAATCTATGAAAAATCTATGGAATTTTACTAGATCAAGTGAGCTTTTAAATTCCAGCATTAATTTCATAACTTCTACAATTCTTAATTACTGAACTTAAGAAAAATGCTTGGTGTCTGTGATTATGTTCTAAGGAGATGTTGGATCTGACTGAATTTTTGCGTTCTGTAATTGATTTATCTCAAAACCCCAGAGCTCTTGAAACTTAATTTTCTTTTTATATTCGCTTTCATTCATTGTATTTAGATTTATTAAATTAAGAATTATTAATTCATAAGTAAGTTTAAATCAAATCTATATAGTTTTGTGGCTAAAGCAGACAAAAGCAGATTAAGATTTGGATCTAAATTCAAAAGCATATTGGTGATCATTTATATTTCTCTTTTGGAGTCTTTTTCTTTTTCTCAAGTTTAACTTTCCTCGCACTCTTTTGCGAAACAGAGCCATACATAATGTTGATATTACTTTTTGCAGTACTTTTCATATTTCTATAAAGTAGTATATCAGAATTTTTGTAATCTTCTTTTTAAGGAGATCTTGGTGTAGTCAGCTTAATAATTTCATTTATCAAATCTTATCTCTCACTTTCACCATCAATTGGAATCGGCTTTCGAGATGACAAGGGATTACTAAATCCATTAGAAGGGGAAGAGGATTTATGATTTTTTAGAAGATCTATCCTCAGCATAGGCGGAATATTTTTCTTCTCTGATGCATTTTTAGACATTGAGGGCAACTCTTTGGATGTGAATAAGGAGATTTGATTATTTTTTGAGTCTCTCATATACTGAGTAGCTTTGATCGATACTTCATTTAGATTTTCCTTTTTCTGTTGTTTCTTAGGACTCCCTCTATTAATTCTTAATTAATTACGTTTATAACTTTCAGGGGATTATTATTTACTAGCATTTTCTGATTAGTTGTTTATAGTTATGAAATTATTATGGCTGTTTCCATTTTTGCTATTAGTACTTGATTCATCTTAATTTTGTTCTTGATTTGAGTCTTATGCTTATTAACCTGTTCTATTAGAATTTCTTGAAGAATATTTATAAGATTTTTATATTTTAAGGTGCTTTTATTACTCTTCAACAATTTTTTTTAGTATTTCGTTTTTTCCTTATTCAGGATCATAATTAGGCATATTGGATTCCTCTGAGTTTTTCTTATATTAAAGATTCAATTAACTTGACTAAGATTAATAAGTTTTTTTTAATTCTTTTCCAGGTGAAGTATTACTAAAATTATAACTTTAATTTCTTTTTGGGGAGTTTGCTAAACTATCTTCCTCTAATAACTCCTAGGTATTTATTTTAACTTTTTTTCTATCCTTTAAATTCTAATTTTTAGATTAATAGTTGGTTTTAGAGCCCTTGGAAGATTTCTTTACAGAATTCTCTTATGATGAAAAGGTGTTTGTTGGGGATTGTGAGATTTAGAGTTCTGGTATTTTAATCAAGTTCTAATCAAGGTTTGTAATACCTTTGACTCTCATTATCTCTTCTAATTGCTCAAGTCTGTATGTATTTATACTAGATCCTCTATCTGTTTCCATTTTAAGTTAAATAGGACTCATTCCCACAACTGCATCCTTCATCTCATCAGCTAGCTCATGAGAATTATTAGACCTACTAAGGATACTTTATTTATTATTATTCTAGGCAGAAAGAACTACAGAGTTGATTTTATTATCATACTTTAGCTTTTAGCTAATTTCTAATTCTTTTGATGATTGTCTTAGGTATTATCCCATTGCGCTATCTCTCTTTTATGCTTCTTATACCATTTCTTATTCTTCCTTTAGTTTCTAAAGATGCAATTCCCTTTATCTCTACAAGTGTTCTTTCAGTACTTAATATTATCTTTGATTCTCCAATAATCCCATTTATCTTTAGTTTGCTTGTTCATCCTATTCCTACTTCATTTTAATATAATCTTCCATATACTTTGACATTCGCTCCTAATCCTTATTATCTGTAGTGATAGTATATTTAGACCTCGTCAGATCTTTTAAGCTTTTAAAATTCGGCTGCATTCCCCCTAAAGTGGAGTGAGTAAATTACTAGTGAGTTGGGCTTTGAAATGAATAAAATCTTCCTTTGTTCTAGTTATGTCTTATTAATTCATCTGGTAGCTAGACTTACCAAGTATTTTACTGATATTTATTTGGAGAGTTATCTCTTGATGAACCATTGCTCATTGTTATTTACATTAATGGCTTGTAGAAATTTACTACTTCTTTGAATGTTTACTATACTGGTGAGATTTCTTTGGTCAAATGATTCGCTGGTTATACATAGCTCTGTTGAAATGTATAGAGAGGTCTTTGAGGCAAATTCTTAATTCGTTTAGGATCAAACTTGAAATTTACTTTCAATTAATTTCCTGGAGGTGAATTATAATTTTGAGTCTGTAAATCCATTTAAAGCTGATGTTCATCTTATATATTCTACATCTTATCTTCTAACTATTTATTTCGTATCAAATTTCCAAGATCATGCATTCTCAATCAATAGTAATCATTATCATATTCTCATTTCTTTCTGTCAGCTACAACCTTAGATACTCCTGTAGGTATTCCTTTGAGATCTAGAATAAATTAACCATAGTCAAATGTGTTAATATTTCCGAGTGTTAATCCATTTATATCGCTTTCTTTCACTTGACTATAAAGGAGCTCAAAGTCTTCTTTAGTTTGCTCTTTCAGAGTTTACAAATATCTATCATTTTACAATGTTGCTATGCTATAAAGTTACTAACTGAACTTATCAAAAGAATTCACATAGCCTACATCTCTTCGCTCAAATATCAAATTTTAAGTAGCCTTTGCTCAACTAGCTTCATTTTAATCTTGAATTGTAGAAATTTGATCTTTTATATCATTAATTGCCTTCTGATTTTAAATTGTTGTTCTTCCTTTAATTGGAGGTAAACCCTAGTTCATAGACTATCCTCACTTCTTGACTAAATAACTTGCTTTAGAAGATGACATGGTAGGTGTAAAATTAGTATTTTAACTTTTTGACAACGCCGACTAATTTGCAATGCCATTTCTAGGTGATCTTTTTAAAAATGGTTTTCCTTTAGGTATAGAAATAAACTCCTTTTGAGAATGAAAAAAGTTTGGTAATTTGTCAATTATTGTTTTGTAGCTACTCACAGGTGTGTTTGTAGTTCTTGATCCTAGACCCTCATTTATTTTCACATTACTCATAGGTGAGAAATTTTTCATTTTCTCTATATCTAATTTTTTATATAGTTAATTATCTAACTTTTTTAATTATACTGGCAAATAGGGGTTTTGGGGTTTTGGGGTTTTGGGG